TAAAGTATCGTTGGATACTTTCCATCCTTAGCTTGTCGCGTGTGCGAGTGTTGCTTATAATAAATGGGCAGTATTCTAGTAGTGGTATGACACATGTTTTGTACAGAATTAGCTTGGCTTCATTGTCGTGAAAGTTCCTGAGTATGCATCCTAAGAGCATCCTCGATTTTCTAGTCTGTGATGCTACTTGCTCTGAGAATGTCAAGTCACTAGAGTACCTCAAGCCTAGGTCAACGACACTTCGGAGTCTTGTTAGGTTACCAGATTGGAGCGTTAATTTCAGGTCAATTGAGGGTGCACCGAAGCAGATCCAGCCACATTTGTTCAGATTAAATTGGAGATTCCATAGGGACGACCAAGCAGCCATTTTATCTAATTCCTTCTGTACTACATTCTCGAAGTTCCCTAAGTCATCACGTTGGAATGTATAAGCTACTTTTAGGTCATCTGCAAAGATGAATGGTTTCCCGTGCGTGAAGCAAGCGCATATGTCATTGATGTATAGTGTAAATAGGAGGGGTCCAATGACACTACCTTGTACTACACCAGAAGTAATAGAGCTAGGTTTGGAGGTTGCAGACCCGAGTTTAACTATTTGGGACCTATTGTTAAGGAATGATTTAAGCCATCCCAATAATGGGTCACGTATTCCTAAGGAGTTCAGTTTATTTGTTAGCAGTAAATGGTCAACACGGTCAAATGCCTTAGAAATGTCAAAGTAGATGACAAGTACTAGTTGCCGTCTGTCACGACTGCTGGTTACAAAATTGAAGAAGTCTAGGTGACATGTTAAACATGATCTGGATTTCAGGAATCCATGTTGGTTCGGACTTATGATGTTGCAGCTAAGCATATGTTTGATTAAGTTATCTTTGACTAGTCTCTCCATGATTCTAGATGCTATAGGTGTGATATTGATTGGCCGGTAGTTACTGACATCAGTTTTCGAGCCAGATTTGTGTTTAGGCATAATGAATGTAGTCTTCCATATGTCAGGGTAAGTTTGGGTTTCTAGGGACATTGTGAATATTTTAAGCAGTAGTAGAGGAATGTCAGGGCCACCATATTTATAGAAGTAAGATGATATACCGTCGGTACCGAAACCTTTTGAACTTTTGAGGGTTCTTATAGTTTGGTTAATGTCAGCGTAAGTGAATTGAACAGTGCTAATTTGGTTTGGTGTCAGTGGAGTTGGTGCCATTTTAGTAATAGAGTGTATATCGAGTAGCTGGGCTCAGGGCTGTGAAGTATCATGATCATTATCACAAATATTCAATTTACCATCATCTATCTGGTCGACCTCATCATTATCAAAATCTTTAATAACAGAAGTAGACAATTTTGGCTCCTCCTCACAAATCCTTAAAGGTTCTATATCTTCACTCTGAGTAGTAATACCTTGTAAACTTGTAGGGTCAGAACTGAACTCTGAAGCAGCAACTCTATTCTGTGACACTCTATTCAACAATGGCTTACCAGTTGCAACTACAGACTTCTTGACCAAACCGTTATCGTCACACAATTCGGAGTCAGGCCTGGAGTTTACATTTAGCTTATCACTGAACTTGCTTACTGGTTCACAGTTCACTTCTGTATGCACCTCTTGAAAACGTGTAAAACACAACTGTGTTTCTCTTGCAGCTTGCAACTTATCTGTTGAGGATGTACTACGAAACCTGTTACACTCACTAGATCTATATGCATTGAAGTATATATATATATTTCTTCCTGTTTATGCAGGAACATACCAATTGTACAGGCATGGATAAGTTGTTATATAAATTACACAAAATTTGATGTATAATGGATTTACAGTTTGGTTGTTCTTTCTGACATCAAAGTCAGTCGGAACAGTCTGCTATAAAGTCTGTTTGTGTAGCACATAAAGAGATATAGAAATATTGTCTTCGCATTAACAAAAAACCCAGACATCAGATGAATGTAATACAAATATCTGGGAAAAATAAAGCTTGAAGTCAATTCTCTCATATAACTTTGTTGTGAACATCACCCTTGGCTTAAAGATTATTGATGTATTATGTTGAGATCAGTGATATATTTATTCCATTTTTTCAGTAGTCTTGTCGTAGTTTTATAACAGGAAAGAAATTTGATCGTGGATACGAAAACTAGATAAGGTCATGTTGGGTTGTTTTACTGCATCAAGTGGTGCCGAGGTCGTTTCCAGAATTCTCCATTTGCTCCATTTGTGTCTGCATGGCGGACTGTATTCGTAAGTTGAGTAAAATGTTGAAAACTGTTTGAAAACCAGTTGCTTCTTCATTTCAGATCATGAATACTCATTTACAGCATGTTCGCCAGCGTCTTCAAATGGTAGAATTGGATCGTTCATGGAATTTGAGTGGTCATGAGATAGACGGTTTGGAATTAATCCTCATTTCAGTTTAGATGCAGGGTTGTTCGACCTCGACCAGAAGATGAATAGGAGCAGCAAAATACCAGAAAGAGAAAGTATGTGAACATGAAAAGGACATTTATGTATGATGCATTTATAAATGTTTATCTTAATTATACTTAAGTAAACATTTTTCTATATTGTATTTGTTTTCACGTATTAATGCGAAGTCTTAGAGTTTATTTAATGTCATAATGTGTATTAATGAGTCTGAGCGTTTTATTGTTCTAATGACTGATGCGTTTTAGAAATAAGTGATGGGTTCTGGTAGGGATAGTCATTTGGACAAAACAGTTTATATAGCAAGCGTTTGAAGGTTACAATGATGGATAGGTCCTATTTCTAAGGGTAAACTAATCCTGTATGTTCCGTACTATGTCTTTATGCATCCATGCTGCTAGTTTATTTATAGTTTAAAGATTGCTAAGTTTGTTGAAGTGCGTCTTTTAGGTGCTGTAGTAGATTAGTGCTTGATTCGTTCTAGGAGTAAATAGTTTATTAATATAATCTGTAGAGTGAAACAGTCTGTATAGACAGCGTTTGAAGCTTGTAACCGAAGGGCAAGTTCTGATATCTAGGGGTAGGCTATTCCATATTTTAGAATACATGACTGTGAAGAAGTTTTCACGGAGTGTTGACTTAAAAGAATGAGTTGTCACTGTGGAAGTTTGGTTACGCAGATCGTAAGAACCTTCCTGTGCGAATTGTATGTCCCTGTTACCTGAGAAAGATATTTTGTGAAGGACCTTGAAGAAGAATATTAGGTTTATAATAAGTCGCCTTGTCCAAAGTGGGTCGAGTTTTAGGATCATGCACCGTGAGATGTAGTCTTTCTTGCAATCATAGCCAAGTAGTTTTGAGGTAAAGTATCGTTGGATACTTTCCATCCTTAGCTTGTCGCGTGTGCGAGTGCTGCTTATAATAAATGGGCAGTATTCTAGTAGTGGTATGACACATGTTTTGTACAGAATTAGCTTGGCTTCATTGTCGTGAAAGTTCCTGAGTATGCATCCTAAGAGCATCCTCGATTTTCTAGTCTGTGATGCTACTTGCTCTGAGAATGTCAAGTCACTAGAGTACCTCAAGCCTAGGTCAACGACACTTCGGAGTCTTGTTAGGTTACCAGATTGGAGCGTTAATTTCAGGTCAATTGAGGGTGCACCGAAGCAGATCCAGCCACATTTGTTCAGATTAAATTGGAGATTCCATAGGGACGACCAAGCAGCCATTTTATCTAATTCCTTCTGTACTACATTCTCGAAGTTCCCTAAGTCATCACGTTGGAATGTATAAGCTACTTTTAGGTCATCTGCAAAGATGAATGGTTTCCCGTGCGTGAAGCAAGCGCATATGTCATTGATGTATAGTGTAAATAGGAGGGGTCCAATGACACTACCTTGTACTACACCAGAAGTAATAGAGCTAGGTTTGGAGGTTGCAGACCCGAGTTTAACTATTTGGGACCTATTGTTAAGGAATGATTTAAGCCATCCCAATAATGGGTCACGTATTCCTAAGGAGTTCAGTTTATTTGTTAGCAGTAAATGGTCAACACGGTCAAATGCCTTAGAAATGTCAAAGTAGATGACAAGTACTAGTTGCCGTCTGTCACGACTGCTGGTTACAAAATTGAAGAAGTCTAGGTGACATGTTAAACATGATCTGGATTTCAGGAATCCATGTTGGTTCGGACTTATGATGTTGCAGCTAAGCATATGTTTGATTAAGTTATCTTTGACTAGTCTCTCCATGATTCTAGATGCTATAGGTGTGATATTGATTGGCCGGTAGTTACTGACATCAGTTTTCGAGCCAGATTTGTGTTTAGGCATAATGAATGTAGTCTTCCATATGTCAGGGTAAGTTTGGGTTTCTAGGGACATTGTGAATATTTTAAGCAGTAGTAGAGGAATGTCAGGGCCACCATATTTATAGAAGTAAGATGATATACCGTCGGTACCGAAACCTTTTGAACTTTTGAGGGTTCTTATAGTTTGGTTAATGTCAGCGTAAGTGAATTGAACAGTGCTAATTTGGTTTGGTGTCAGTGGAGTTGGTGCCATTTTAGTAATAGAGTGTATATCGAGTAGCTGGGCTCAGGGCTGTGAAGTATCATGATCATTATCACAAATATTCAATTTACCATCATCTATCTGGTCGACCTCATCATTATCAAAATCTTTAATAACAGAAGTAGACAATTTTGGCTCCTCCTCACAAATCCTTAAAGGTTCTATATCTTCACTCTGAGTAGTAATACCTTGTAAACTTGTAGGGTCAGAACTGAACTCTGAAGCAGCAACTCTATTCTGTGACACTCTATTCAACAATGGCTTACCAGTTGCAACTACAGACTTCTTGACCAAACCGTTATCGTCACACAATTCGGAGTCAGGCCTGGAGTTTACATTTAGCTTATCACTGAACTTGCTTACTGGTTCACAGTTCACTTCTGTATGCACCTCTTGAAAACGTGTAAAACACAACTGTGTTTCTCTTGCAGCTTGCAACTTATCTGTTGAGGATGTACTACGAAACCTGTTACACTCACTAGATCTATATGCATTGAAGTATATATATATATTTCTTCCTGTTTATGCAGGAACATACCAATTGTACAGGCATGGATAAGTTATTATATAAATTACACAAAATTTGATGTATAATGGATTTACAGTTTGGTTGTTCTTTCTGACATCAAAGTCAGTCGGAACAGTCTGCTATAAAGTCTGTTTGTGTAGCACATAAAGAGATATAGAAATATTGTCTTCGCATTAACAAAAAACCCAGACATCAGATGAATGTAATACAAATATCTGGGAAAAATAAAGCTTGAAGTCAATTCTCTTATATAACTTTGTTGTGAACAGCACCCTTGGCTTAAAGATTATTGATGTATTATGTTGAGATCAGTGATATATTTATTCCATTTTTTCAGTAGTCTTATCGTAGTTTTATAACAGGAAAGAAATTTGATCGTGGATACGAAAACTAGATAAGGTCATGTTGGGTTGTTTTACTGCATCAAATGGTGCCGAGGTCGATTCCAGAATTCTCCATTTGCTCCATTTGTGTCTGCATGGCGGACTGTATTCGTAAGTTGAGTAAAATGTTGAAAACTGTTTGAAAACCAGTTGCTTCTTCATTTCAGATCATGAATACTCATTTACAGCATGTTCGCCAGCGTCTTCAAATGGTAGAATTGGATCGTTCATGGAATTTGAGTGGTTATGAGATAGACGGTTTGGAATTAATCCTCATTTCAGTTTAGATGCAGGGTTGTTCGACCTCGACCAGAAGATGAATAGGAGCAGCAAAATACCAGAAAGAGAAAGTATGTGAACATGAAAAGGACATTTATATATGATGCATTTATAAATGTTTATCTTAATTATACTTAAGTAAACATTTTTCTATATTGTATTTGTTTTCACGTATTTATGCGAAGTCTTAGAGTTTATTTAATGTCATAATGTGTATTAATGAGTCTGAGCGTTTTATTGTTCTAATGACTGATGCGTTTTAGAAATAAGTGATGGGTTCTGGTAGGGATAGTCATTTGGACAAAACAGTTTATATAGCAAGCGTTTGAAGGTTACAATGAGGGATAGGTCCTATTTCTAAGGGTAAACTAATCCTGTATGTTCCGTACTATGTCTTTATGCATCCATGCTGCTAGTTTATTTATAGTTTAAAGATTGCTAAGGGTGTTGAAGTGCGTCTTTTAGGTGCTGTAGTAGATTAGTGCTTGATTCGTTCTAGGAGTAAATAGTTTATTAATATAATCTGTAGAGTGAAACAGTCTGTATAGAGAGCGTTTGAAGCTTGTAACCGAAGAGCAAGTTCTGATATCTAGGGGTAGGCTATTCCATATTTTAGAATACATGACTGTGAAGAAGTTTTCACGGAGTGTTGACTTAAAAGAATGAGTTGTCACTGTGGAAGTTTGGTTACGCAGATCGTAAGAACCTTCCTGTGCGAATTGTATGTCCCTGTTACCTGAGAAAGATATTTTGTGAAGGACCTTAAAGAAGAATATTAGGTTTATAATAAGTCGCCTTGTCCAAAGTGGGTCGAGTTTTAGGATCATGCACCGTGAGATGTAGTCTTTCTTACAATCGTAGCCAAGCAGTTTTGAGGTAAAATATCGTTGGATACTTTCCATCCTTAGCTTGTCGCGTGTGCGAGTGCTGCTTATAATAAATGGACAGTATTCTAGTAGTGGTCTGACACATGTTTTGTACAGAATTAGCTTGGCTTCATTGTCGTGAAAGTTCCTGAGTATGCATCCTAAGAGCATCCTCGATTTTCTAGTCTGTGATGCTACTTGCTCTGAGAATGTCAAGTCACTAGAGTACCTCAAGCCTAGGTCAACGACACTTCGGAGTCTTGTTAGGTTAGCAGATTGGAGCGTTAATTTCAGGTCAATTGAGGGTGCACCGAAGCAGATCCAGCCACATTTGTTCAGATTAAATTGGAGATTCCATAGGGACGACCAAGCAGCCATTTTATCTAATTCCTTCTGTACTACATTCTCGAAGTTCCCTAAGTCATCACGTTGGAATGTATAAGCTACTTTTAGGTCATCTGCAAAGATGAATGGTTTCCCGTGCGTGAAGCAAGCGCATATGTCATTGATGTATAGTGTAAATAGGAGGGGTCCAATGACACTACCTTGTACTACACCAGAAGTGATAGGGCTAGGTTTGGAGGTTGCAGACCCGAGTTTAACTATTTGGGACCTATTGTTAAGGAATGATTTAAGCCATCCTAATAATGGGTCACGTATTCCTAAGGAGTTCAGTTTATTTGTTAGCAGTAAATGGTCAACACGGTCAAATGCCTTAGAAATGTCAAAGTAGATGACAAGTACTAGTTGCCGTCTGTCACGACTGCTGGTTACAAAATTGAAGAAGTCTAGGTGACATGTTAAACATGATCTGGATTTCAGGAATCCATGTTGGTTCGGACTTATGATGTTGCAGCTAAGCATATGTTTGATTAAGTTATCTTTGACTAGTCTCTCCATGATTCTAGATGCTATAGGTGTGATATTGATTGGCCGGTAGTTACTGACTTCAGTTTTCGAGCCAGATTTGTGTTTAGGCATAATGAATGTAGTCTTCCATATGTCAGGGTAAGTTTGGGTTTCTAGGGACATTGTGAATATTTTAAGCAGTAGTAGAGGAATGTCAGGGCCACCATATTTATAGAAGTAAGATGATATACCGTCGGTACCGAAACCTTTTGAACTTTTGAGGGTTCTTATAGTTTGGTTAATGTCAGCGTAAGTGAATTGAACAGTGCTAATTTGGTTTGGTGTCAGTGGAGTTGGTGCCATTTTAGTAATAGGGTGTATATCGAGTAGCTGGACTGAGGGCTTAAGGTAGTTACCTGCAAACGTTTTGTTGAATAGTTCACATATGTCTGCAGAGTTAGTGCATAGCCTGCCTTTGTCTATGAGGAGAGAAATGCTGTGATTTTTGCGATTCATTCGCTTCCTTAAGATTTCTGTGAGTGCATACACTCTAGCAGGACTGGCTACTGCGATGCGTTCTTCCTTTCTCATACGGAAATCTTGAGCTTGTGTGATGGAGCTAAGGGTTTTAAGTATTAGACCTAGAGTGCCAAAGTCGTGGTGTTTGAAGTAACTTGTTGAGAGTTTCTTCAGTTTCTTACGATCCTTTGGTTTTATGAATGACTTTCTGTGTGGGGAAACCTTTAGTGTTTGGAGTGGAATGACAGCATCTAAGCATGTGTTTGAGTTATGGTAGAAGATGGTTAGGGCTCTCGATAGGTCATCAGTAGTGAAGTATTCATCCCATTTGGAGGATCTTAGCATCGATTCAACTAAGGCCCAGTTTGCCTTACTATAGTTCCTATATATTACTTGTTGTGAAGTGGAGGTATGAGATGCATTGCTACTCAGCGGAATTGGCAGTGCACACATTACTGTTTTGTGGTCGCTCCCTGGGAACTCAGAACCTACTAGCGTTGAAAGGGGGCTTATATTGTGGCAGAAGATTAAGTCTAGTACGTTGTTACCTCTTGTGGGAGTAGTGACAGTTTGTTTCCAGCCAAGTATATCCAGTGTGTCTAAGAACTTATCAAATTTAGTTGGACCTGTGGGTATATCCCAGTTGATTTCAGGTAAGTTAAAGTCCCCACATAGGATCTTATGATCGTATTGTAAGTCGGTTAATTGCTCCAGAGTATTAATGAGTTGGGTCTCGTAATTACTAAAGGTGCCAGGTGCTCTGTAGGAGCATCCAATTAATGCTGTTACGTTATTTAAGTGTACATTAACCCATAGAGTCTCAGGCATGTTAAGTGTACTACTTTCTAGCTGTGATACAGTAAGTGCATTCAGAAAGTACATGAGACAACCCCCTCCCTTACCACCTTCCCTGTCACACCGAAAGTGTGTGTAGTTATCTAAGCTTATTTCTTCATCCAGGATGTCCGAATGACACCAAGATTCAGTGATGACAATTACAGGGGGTTTGTATATTACTGTGAGTGCTCTGAGCATCGGCAATTTATTTAGAACAGATCTAGCATTTATGAGGATTACGTAAAGATGAGAGTTGAAGTAGCATTTGAAGTATTTAAGTTCGTTAGTCAGCCCCGAATATGGTTCAGCACCCAGTAGTTCTGCTGGACATGACGATCCTATGTTAAGAGGAGTTCCAGCATCATGCTCACCTATGTCTATCGAGTTGTTGTGTGCTGTTTTCGGTGGAGAATTAGGAGTTGGAGTACTGGATTTGCTATAGACTAAGGAACTTTTATTTTTAGTTAGGTTACAGAAGTGGGTAGGGTTCTTTATTTGGCCTATACTTGTGCAAGTGTCAAGTGTGTCCAATGGATACGGGTGCACTAGACCGTTCCTGTTTTCATGCAAGGAGGGAGCCAGCACTAGTGGTTTAGGAGTGTTAACATCCCTACCAGCTGTTTTTTCAACGCTGACAGGGACGCGGGGGATAAAAAATGATTGGATCCTTGTGATGACCATGGCTTATTATTCCACCTATTGTTTGATGCTAGTTGTGTCCTTGTGTGGGTTTCGTGTGTACTGCATTGTGGGTTAGTTCCCAGCAGACTTGTACCATATATCCGGTCGAAATTTGTTTGTGTGCCATACTCTGAAGACCCTGAGTTGTTGGTAGCCGAGTTCTGACTATTACCACTTGTACTATTGAGGGTGACATCGTTGTGACATTGGATATTAGTGTGTGCCACGGTGCGATTTAGCACGTTGTGAGTGCTAATACTATTAACCGTGGGGAGTGTGGGCTTATTTAAGCTGCCACTGTTTTTGTTGGTATGATTTAGGGGCATATTTTCCTTATCTTTACCAATGGAATTATAGCTAGGAGAGGACAAAGTCGAGTTTCGGGGGGTTTTAACTTTTTTTCTGGGGTTATTTAGTGGCATTTTAGATTCTGCGGTGATGGGTGGTATGGTTTTATTATTTATTTGGTTACAGTCTAGTGGCCTTTCGGCTGGTGTTGCACTCTGATGGGATATTTCTGTGTGTTTTGAGAGGGGTGATGCGGTGGGGTCTACTGTATCTTTCACAGGGTTGGGAATAATGGCTTGCTGCAATGTCCTATTACCTATTTCACAATTAGTCTTAGTGAGATAGTTGTGTGCGCGCCTTTCTATAACTGTTTTGTCCACCCCGACCTTTATATGTTTGTAGTTTCTGGCTTGCGATAGGGTGTGTTGGGAGTGAATGAATTTTCTGGTCTCTGCCGGTGTTTCGAACTGAAAACGAATAGGACAACACTTTTCATGTTGACTCTTCTTCAGCCTGTAGCACTTAGTCTTGGAGTTAGGCATTTTCGCTTCACTAAGTAAGATGCGCTGTACCTTTTTTAGTGCCTCATTGTCCGGAACGTTGTAGACAATAGCACTCAGTTTTGCGTCGAGTCGTTTTGTTACTTCTGTGGTAACAAAGTTAATGAGGTTATCTACCTTAGTTACCGATTCTGTGTCAAGCTTGTTAAGGTTTACCGTTTTCATGAGGATAGTTAGAGGTGTCAGTTCACAGACCTGCGATCTGATATCGCTGATCTGATCTGATAATTTGGATATCTCGGTATTGGTTTCGATGTTTCCAGCATTTACTGACTTGCTGTTTTTTATTTCCCTTAACTCAGCCTTAAGTTCTCCTATAGACAACTTTAGAAGTTCTATTTCTGAAGATAGTACTGAAAAAGAGCTTGATGGCTGGAGTTTCTCCATAAGCACATAAGGTGAAGGGAGGAGTTCTGTATGAGCAGAGGGTACCGAATTTTTAGGAGTAGTGCTAATACTGGCTGTCAGTACAGTTTTATCCTCAGTTTCAGCTCGACGCTTACGGCATACACGTGAGTTATGTGACTCACTATAGCCGTTTGTTGGGGGTGTGTTGCTTGATGTAGCAATCAAGGACGTTAAATTAGACACCAGTTTTACAGGGGATTGGGTTCGTTGCTTTTTACTTTGATTAACCATAACTATTAGAAATGAGAGTTAGTGGTTACAAGTATGGAAGTGGTATAGTACTTGTGCAAGTACTACAACAAGATAAATTTTATGTAACGAATCACGTAAAAATGTAACGCAAACGTTGAACGTACCGCGATACTAGACATCATGGAGCCTTCTCGATATCCACCTCTCTGAGGCCTACTCGTCATCAATGATTGCATTCTGCTCTCAGACTGCTCTATTCTAGGGGTGAGATGTAATAGACTGGTGAACTTGCTCATAGATTGATTGACACTAGTATTTACCAGTTTCAGGATATCATCAAACTTTGGCTCGAAACCCTCATCCTCCATACGGGAGCTTATCTTCACCCACTTCCTTTGCAGTCGAGTAGGTAGGCGTCTCGCAATTACCTCTAGGACTGAGCTGGAGTTGAGGTCACACATGCGATTCATCGAAATCATTGCATTCTTGTAAATTAGCAAATTATATAAAAACTCAGTGAGTGCCTGGGAGTCATCCTGTAATTGACCACCATTACCCTTAACAGCCTCGAATAATTTCCCTGCAATCATCGAAGGTCTTCCAAACCTTTGACGTAATATGCTCATAGCCTCATCGTAGCCCTCTTTTGGCTTCATAAACTTACAGCACTGTATAGCTCTTGCAGCATCTCCAGTGCAATATCTCATCAAATACATTAACTTCAATTCATCACTTAATAGAAAACTACTCGACATGATCTCAAACTCCTTTACAAATTGTAAATAATCAGCTGGGTTTCCATCAAAACACCGTGGTTCTAATTTAGGGAGTTTGATGTTCCTATTATCCCTGAACGGCGAAACAGTAACATCAACCATATCATGCTTAACATCAGACACATCGTTACAATTAACAGACAAGTCACAATGACTTACTTTCCTGTTTGCATCCAAGACACTCTGTCCCTTCTTTGACCCAGGCATTGTTGAACTTCACCCAATTCCAAAATAGTTCCAGATATTGCTTGTTCAAAGAGGACTTGACCGGCACCAGGAAAGATGAAAGGTGACTATCCAAACTTTCACCAACTGTCTGAATCCGCCAAATATGTTTCTACCATCAGAAACTGTCAGTCACGTCTCATAAACCGTTAATGCCCAGCTCTTGCTACGCTCGGGCTCACGCTGTTCCTTGAAGTTTTCAGAAACGCTTAGTAATAACGGACGCAAAAACCAAACCACCGATTGGCCACTCGAGAATTCTTTATTGTTACACCAACATATATAAATAATGTTTTTACTAGGGTCTATGAACAAATATTGCAATAATAAATCACAATATTACTTCTGATGGTTGTCTCCTGACTTCTTTCTGAACAGCGACCGATGAGACGATGACTGTCGTATTGATGCCTCCGCGAAAATTGGGGAAGTTGGTTTTGAGCAAACAACCATGAATTGATCGTTCAATCTTCAACTACTTTGACATATGGTATAATGTCAAATCTTAAATTGTCTACAAGTTAATAATGTTTCAACAGTTAAATATTTGATATATATATAATTACACTCATCGTCTGAACCAGACCGTATAGTTATTGAATTGTAGAGTTGTCCGCCAGGTTGCGCGGGAAAACTGACTTCGTTTCGTTTTCATCCCGGAGTGAGGATATAGGCTGTCTCGAGTTGTTATCGCGCAACGCCATCGGTTACCGCGCTCACGGCAGCAGACGTTATAATCGCCTTTTTTTGGAAATAGATTATATTTCACTAGTTTTAGACTTCTGTAGCCGGATGGCAGTAATTCGCTGTATTTTGTTCTTAGTAGAGCGTAAAATTGTATATTATAGCTCGGACGAATTATCAATGAAGGAGTAATCCTTTTTAAGAGAGTTCGCTTAGAAAGACTATTATTTGCATTATAGTGCGTTGACGGTTTGTTTTTTTGCGAGTTGTTTCAGATCTTAAGGTTGTAAATATACTGCAGGCAATGGCTGTTGTCATTCCAGTGAATCTATGAGAATCTGGCCTATGAAAGAGAAATAGCATGCAGACATAGGTTAGATGTGTGCTTTGAACATGTTAAACTTTTCTGTTATCATCCGGGATGACTGAAATACTCATAACACATCGACGACATCATGCGATAAATGAGATAGGCTGCTGAATTTCCTGGTGATTATATCTATTTTGATGAAGTTCCTAGTTAAAAGTGCTTGGGCGAAGATGTGAAAATAGTTTAATTGACATTTGCACATGAAATTTCACAAGGCCTTAATTGCTCAATGCATGAAATGGCATCAGAGTATATTGACATCAGTGTTCATTGTGTCTGGAAGAATAGTATAAATAGTCCTTCTCAAATGTCAGAGTACTTAAAATTAGTACCAGATTTCTGTCGATTAGTAGCTAGCGGCTGTGTCATACAACTACTACACCTGTTACATAGGTTATATCAATCTTAAAAATTATTTTGCTTCACATCACTAAGATATTCTGAGATCCTTAATGACTTAATTGTGGCTATGAAAGATGTAGAAGATGCACTTATGGCTCATATATTTAACGCAGTTATTATTAAACAAGTTATCTGTAAGCAACTTGTGATGTTCTGAATACTGCAAACTGTTGATAAGAAACTGCATCAAAGGAAAAAATGCCGAACAGACAGAAAATACTACTGCAGTTTCGTTGGTTGTTACCTTTTGCATTTGTAACTCATCCTTCCAAAGCTGCGATTGACGCCAAACCATCCATGGTACCCCACAGGCCCTATAGAAATTTGTGAGACATCTTACATGTCAGGTTATCTTCCATATTACAAGGTTGCAGATCTTTCAATTTACCTCTCACTGAAATATCACTTATCTACTTCACTATGGTCTTTTCATTTGTGCACTATTACACTGCATTTTATGTTAACTGGATATGCCTTTATGCTTACAGTCTATTTGCTTTTATTAGAAACACAACAACACCAGTGTTTGAACAAAGCTGTATTTTCATGGAAAACATCATATTTTCTATCCTTACACCAATATGGTTGGCATTAAACATTGCAAATGTATACTCACATTCCAACGACATAGCACTTAGCCAAATGTACGGTGTTCATTGTTAAGGGTTTACAATTTAACTCTTATAATTTATGATACTTCACGATTGCAGTTTATAACATAACTTATTGAGCCTGTAGAAATGACATGCATTCTTTGTAAACATTGGTTTATACGAAATATGAAATTATTATTATATGCTTGCTGCTATCCTTTAGAAGATGAATAATGTGTGTGGCAGTGAAAACCCCAGAAGAATGCTGTCATGAACAAAGAATGAGAAAGAAGAATGAACCATTTTCAGCAAAGGTAGGCAGATATAAAGCGTTTAACTTTGATATTACTTCTTTCTTACTTCAGCGATTTAAAAAACACTTTGTTTACTTATTTGTAGATATCCGGTAACGTCAGTCACCCCGGTCACAGAGATTCGACATTGCCCAAATTATTACGACAAACGACTGTGTAAAGACATTTGCTTGTTATTATTTTTCATTAAATACATTTAATATCCTGCTTACCAGACCTTTCTTATTATATCTGAGTGTAGATATATTTGTCATGCTGACTAGATGCAAACATGACTTATTAATAAGAACTAACGAAGTAATTGGTTGCATATTTTAGTGTAAGCTAAATCTAAATACGATTGCTAAAGCTAAACGAATTCAATAATTCGTCTGGTGTAGACTTTAATTTACGCTACATGTTAACAGCCTTAGTCATATGGATTGACATCACGCTTTAAGTGAAACATTAGTAATGCAATACTTTAGAATACACTTAACCGTATAAGAACTGGAACTCGAATGCAGTGCCTAAGTTATGCCTACTATTGTCATTAGTCCCTAAAGACTTCTATATGACTATGACGCATGACGGCCGACATCGTTCCTACGAAATTACACTTACGTATAGTTAAAGTCCTAGAGAGCACCGGTCTAGCATGCCGTGCTCAATAAGGGAACACATGAATCGAAAGACAACAAGATTGACATGAAAATTGTATTTTAATTATGATACAAATTCAGTTTATTTACATATTCAGAGTACGATTGATTCCTGCGATTACTTCTACAGCATAATTCCTGGCAAACACTTCTCCAAATTTGTCATTAATTTTCCTCAAGCCCTTATTCACAGTACTTATATAGGTTTCGAATGGGGCACTTCGATTTCGAGGGACAACAGCTGACGTGCATGCAGACTATCAGATCTTTGCAAGTACCGTTTCATTTGCTTGTGGAAACTCTCGACGCAATTATTTGTATCATTCCCAAAAGTCAGCACGATGTCTCTGAAACATGCGGCCCACAGTTCTCGTCGATGCATCCAACGACGTTGTAGATATTGACTGACAGTAGCATCCAATCTGCTAATAACTCTGAAGTAGAAATTAAATCTGGAAAATGAGAACATTAGAGGCATTACTCTGATTTCCTTTTACACTGCACTAGACGGCATAAGTAGTTCTTCACGATGGGATTTCTTGTCTACGAGTAAAATGTAAAGTATGCTTTGAAAAAATTACTTTACGACAAAAGGCTCGGCAAACATGGAAAGAACACAAAACGATGTGCGCTTGTCTGTGCGTTAACTTCACGGCTGCTATTTCAGCTTGCGCACAATCCATAATAATAATAATAGTATTCTCATTTTGTACATGAGAGACGCCAGTTTACAGGCATCATCAATATGATAAATTACATATACGATTAGCAATCATAATTAATAATAATGTTTTAATAAAATACACATTTTTTCCTACTTGTGTAGGACACACCAAATATACAGGCATGGATAAGCATTATTTAAATTTCATAAATTCGGTTTATGGTTAAATTACATGGTTGCTGGCGTTTTTGTCTTAGGTCTGTGGGAACAGTATGATAACCAGTCATTCAATGGAGCACATCATGAAATATAGGAATATTGTCTTCGCATTAACAAAAAAACCCAAGTAAGTTTTGGATGGATTAAAAATACTTGGGAAAAAATAAAGCTTGAAGTAATTCCTCAATATAACTTGGGTGTGTACACATCCGAATCTTATTTTTGATTTGATTTATATCCAAATTGGGTAATAAGAAAGCTATTTTTACAGATACGATCAGTTATGTTATAAGTTTTCCATTGGTATAAGAGTATATTCCACAAATGTAATCCAGGTTGCGTCGTGGAGAAAGTTAATTCGTTATTAACCAGGCAACTGAAAGATACTGGACCAATAATGTTTGCAGATCATTTGTCATTGTAAATGGTCAAATATCCACATTATTCATTCTCATTCAAAAAGTCAAATGGAAGCTGAAATGGTGAGAGAAAAAAGAAGACAAACAACAGCAACGCAAAAGAAAGCAACGGGAGTCCTTAAGGAGTGATTAATAAATATATACATATATATTCTGTTTAGTAACTGGTTATTTTGGTACACAAACTAACTAGTCCCGTTATGCTGACTTTTATATTATGTGTAAACTAATATTATTACTGTCCTGTGTAGAAATGTTTATCATCTAGTTCCAATAATATTAAAATTTATAATTGTAGTTTGTTGTAACTACACGTTTAAAGAACTTAAAATATCTATGTAGGGTGAAAAAGAGGGTGTAAGAGTCAGACCTATAAGTGCATTGTCATCTTTGAGCAGTCTGGTGACTGAGGAGATGAACACTTGAAGTGTGTTTGCATCGCGCACATTAACTGGTAGTCTATTCCAAATGACTGAAAACTTATTTAAGAAGAAGTTGTACCGCATGTAAGTCTGACAGTGCTCTATAGCAGCTAGGTTGTGATGATTTCTAAGATTGTAACTGATGACAGTGGTAGGTTTAGTTATTGGCTCGGAGGAATGCAAGAGAAGATTAGTTAGCTTGTAGTAAAAGATAAGGTTTAGCTTAAGGCGTCTTTTCCAGAGGGGTTCTAATCTTAGTCTTTCGCATCGCTCATGGTATTCCAGACCACTTTCTAAACCAAGAGTTCTTGAGGTAAACTGCCGTTGCACTCCCTCTAATTTAAGCTTGTCATTTTGTCTGAGTCCGCTAAGAATAAACGGGCAGTATTCTAAGATAGGTCGGACACATACTTTGTATAATAAAACCCTAGTTTCACAACAAAAGAAATTGCGTGTTATGCATCCTATCAGCCTTCGCGTTTTACGTCTGGCATAATCAGTCTGTTCAGCGAACGTTAGGTTACTAGAGTATCTAATACCGAGATCTACGACTGAGTTGAGCTTAGCTAGTTTTCGCCCATTTATTTCAAGAGTTAGATCAAGGTTACTGTTGCCAATACAAATCCAGTCAAATGAAAGATTCTGTTTTGGAGGCGTCTTCCATTATTTGACGGAAACACTCTAACTACATCTCGTTTGAATTCTTTTCTAGCCCACGCAAATAAAACTGGTCGTCCACGACCAAAATTATCCGTCACAAGTAACTGGAACAAAGAATACCTGCACGTTGATTAATGAATTGGTAAACTTACTTCCCCTTATTTGTATTATACGTTGAGTCGATACCAACAACTTCAGGGAACTGTTTATACAATTCCATTTGCTCATAAGTTGCAAAACAAATTCTTGTTAGTGAATTCCTGATCGGTTCATCGGAATAATACTCCATTAACTTCCCACGGGATTTTAGGAATTCAAAAATGTCACGACGACTCGAAATACCTTAAGTATTTAACAATTACGTCAACGTTACCTTTATTAACTGCGGCTTTCATATTTTTAACGCCGATGCGAGTTATATCCTTCTAGTATTTCTCCTTAACCTGCATAATTATTTCGTCGGATGAGTGGGATTGCTGAAGAAGTGGTTCAATATTTTCTTTCTCTTCAACTGTTAGTCGTCTATACCATGGGTCATTCTGCATGTACACCCTGCTGCATGGATGGTTATGCACCATATTGTGGGAAGCAATTATGTATTCACTATAACGCAAAACCACGCGAAACGAAGACGAGCAATTGCAACATTTAGACCTTAAATATTCATCAAATCATAGTATACTTCTTCTTACGACTTATTTTTCAATTTCAATCCAGGTCTTGTACGATTCACTCCGAAAGTGCATTTAAAACCAACATAAGCGTACTTAAACCTGTCATCCGGTATCGTTTTGCTGCAATTATGAAGATAGTGAGTGCAGGATAACTACACTGTTAGCATTAAATGACTTCCTCACTTTTTGAAATTCTGCTAATGTCTTCTCAAATTCATCCCAGCTGAAGAAACGCCTTCCGAGTATGTATTCACCAAAAATTCCATTTAAATCTGTGCTCCTGTCACTCGAATTGACTACCTGCAACGGACTAAAATAAAATTATCAATTAGGATCCATCTATGTCACAACTATTCCAAGATAAATCGTAAAAAAACAACACTGAAATACAGGGATGATCGATAACCATCAAGAAAATACCGCACCTATAACCTAAATTACAGAAAAACACAAGAACCCACCGGTTCGTTGACATCGCAAGCAACCGACAGACCAAACAACGAATTGTACGACAAATAAAGACTAGTACATGCACAAACAAAGAAAAGCAAAGCGTAACAATAGTCTAATACACGTTTATAGTAATCACATATGCTGGCAAACGACGCAAACACAACCACGCAAAGACAGCACCCGACAGCACGCACCCAAGGGCAATTCAAACTCCAATTGACCGCCACCATTCCAGCCAATGAAAGACGAAAAAATCTGAGTCGCGGAAAATATAACACGAATCCACGTATATCCTCACCCTTCATCCCGTGGTTGTAGGCATACGATAACCAACCAATATTGAGGTAAGTACAACTTTTACAAGGGATTGGAAGCTGTTTTAGAAAAGTTAAAGTGCTAATGTGAATCATTAAAGTGTAATAAATTAAGCAAGTGCAATATATCATTAATAAACACATTTATATAGAAAACAGAATGGGGAAGTAATTAATCCTTAGGCCGACAACGTTCATTTGCAATGTATAATGATACCAATATACTTCGTACTATCATGATGTCCACTTTTGGCTTTGATACAATTATTTTCAAGCCAGTTGTTTTTATTTCATGACTTTTTGTCTATTTGGTTCAGAGCCGTACCCTACAGAGAATAGGAATAGAATAAGTAGAATCAAATTCATAAAGAGCTATAAAATGTCAGGTTTAATGGAATGTAATGAGGATCAAGTAAAGACGTTATTAGATGCACATTTTTAGAAAAAACACCGATTTAGTACATTTTCCTCAACAAGGTTCTTAGCGTTCTTGTTTTCTTTTCCAGGTGCGACGGACACTGGACAGGAAACAAACGAAGCACGGGATCCAACGAACAACTTCAAGGAAGCTATGTACAAACACTCTATTAGCATAGGTAGACAGACCAAAAGGCACGTCACCAAGACGCTCGGAAGATTTTTCACCCCAAAGGGAACCATCGAGTTTTTTTGTTTTTTTATTTTATTTAATTTTTTTAATTCTGGCCGGTTCTGTTTTAGGATCCCCACAACCCCATAAGGGAGGAGTGAGCTGTAGCGGTAAACAACTCCCCAAAATTATTGACCATAAGAATAGATTATGTCTAAGAGAAGAATCACATCGTGACCATAAGAATCATCAGTGAACATTGGATGCCGACCCTTAGAGTTTAAGTCGACTTGCTTGGCTGAAGGCTTCCGGTCAAGCATCCCCGCCATTTGGTACTCCGTCGTGTCACTGTCGTGCACGATAAATAGCTAGCTTAGCTTCCGCTTCAATCCACGATTTGGTTCCGAAATATAGCTCGTAGTTTGGACAATCAATTGTGGTGTTTTGCTTTGCCTTTAGTACACGAGAAATAAATCAGATAGAAGTTGTTGGTATAAGATCTTGCGTTGATATACTCCGTACAGTTCGCGAAAATCTCTACCCTCATCCTCTAAAATACTGTCTGCTTGTTCCACTACTAACCGTGCTATATCCCTTGGAATTTTCAGGACCTATCATCTTCATCAGAACACTTCCAAAAACGGTGCACAGCTCCTACTAATGGATGCGACCTCAGCAGTTGACGCTTCTGTGGATCATATTAATTATTTGTAGCAGCGAACTTTAACTTTATCGTAGAGTAACTATTAATTTCGACAACTAAGAGTCGTTCAAACTATGTCTATCTGATACAAAGGGCGAACCATAATCAACATACGAATGAAATATGAGAAAACAAGGTAGAAACTTACCGCAACACCACATGAAAAGATAAAAGTTACTTGGATATCATTTATAATCCACCAACTGGTCTCCTACCCAAAAAGAATGCGGCGATGTTTTATCCAAAAAGGCGAGGAAATACATAAACCCACAGCAGCTGTTGTTAACACTCAGTGGGGGTAGGAGCCAACAAAGTAATCCTTTCAAAGCACATGTATACTTCAAATGGGCACGGAGACTTTGTAGAATACGTTATAATCCAAATCACTGCCTCTACAGCGCCAATAAACCTGGATATCTATGATATAACGAAAACATGCTGAAAGCTGCATCTCAGATCAAGTTGACTCATTCCATGGTAATGATCTCCTCCTGCGTGCCTTATTCGACAAATTGAATGGAATGGCTCGCAGTTATTTTGGTACTAGATCGAAAAGAATAAAAAATTCACCGGTTGCTGAATCAAAAGTACTTCTCTGCATGTTTAACTGTATTCCAACTGCTATGATTAATTCCAAACCATTTATCCCATAATCACTCAAATTCCAGGAACGATCCAATTCTACCATTTAAAGAAGCTGGCGGACACGATGTAAATGAGTATTCATGATCTGAAATAAAGAAGCAACTGGTTTCCAACATTTTACTCAACTTACGAGTACAGTCCGCCATGCAGACACAAATGGAGCAAATGGAGAATTCTGGAATCGACCTCGGGACCATTTGATGCAGTAAAACAACTTAGCATGACTTTATCTAATTTTCGCCTCCACTATCAAATTTCTTTCCTGTTATGAAACTACGATAAGACTGCTGAAAAATGGAATAAATATATCACTGATCTCAACAGAATACATCAATAAACTTTAAGCCGGGGGTGCCGTTCACAATAAAGTTATATAGAATTGACTTCAAGCTTTATTTTTCCCAGATATTTGTATTACATTCATCTGATGTCTGGGTTTTTTGTTAATGCGAAGACAATATTTCTATATCTCTTTATGTGCGACGCAAACAGACTTTATAGCAGACTGTTCCGACTGACTCTAATGTCAGAAAGAACAACCAAACTGTAAGTCCATTATACATCAAATTATGTGTAATTTATATAACAACTTATCCATGCCTGTACAATAGGTATGTTCCTGCATAAACAGGAAGGAATATATTATTATTATTAAAACAATATTTATGCATGCCTATACGATTGGTGTACCCTACATAGCTAGGGAAAAAAATGTACTTTATTATATTATCTTTACTAAATATGCTTATTAATATTATGTGTAAATTATCGAATTGATGATGCCTGTAAACTGGCGTCCCTCATGTAAAAAATGAGAATATATATTATTATTATTATTAACTCACAAACTGTACTTTTATAGTATACTGTTACAATATTCTTTCACTAACGTGTATTTTTATTCTGACATTTTGTTGCTGAGCTGTCTATTAGATCCCCTACATATTTAATGGCCATCCCACTGAAAATTTAAATATGATTACTAATTTTGGAATAAATGCTAATAACTTTGGTGAGAATACTAATACAAAATCAGTTGAAAAATCTGAGAAACGTGCAGATTTACTAAGAATATGTTATTAGCGGTCACGAAAAAATCTGGCGCACAGTAAATACGGTGGATAGTGGGTTTCCAACTACTTATAACAATCAATCAGTAGTATTTGGTGTCACGCACTTATGATTGCCTTCTTGGCTGTCGTCTGTGTTCTAAATAAGTCCAGATGTTGTGATCTGAATAATTTCGGTTTGTTTCCAAAAAACTGTGGTGAAATTCCACCTTCTCGAATTTTGTGAACTACAAACCGCTTTTTAATTTGCGTTTTGCTAATCTGATAAAAGTGTGGAGTCCTAAACAGTAAATATGTACAAATTTTTGCTAAAGCTTTTAAATGAACATATCGTACATTTGTTTTGTTTGATCAACATGTTTGTTCAAAATATCACCGCGTTTGAATGAAAATATAATCGTACTGTTCCTCGCTACTTCTTCGTCTTCTTCTCACTAGTTTCTAAGGTCTATTTTTTCTAATAATCCTTGTGTTGTTTACTTAGAGGTGAATCTACACAATAACAGCCCAAAACGAAACCTCAAAATAAAGACCTTGACGATTCTCCACCGACCAATCAAATGTGTCCGATGCAGAAGTGCGTAATTTGAAAAACACACTTACATAATAAGTAATGCGACGTTAAACAGTAATCACATGGAATTACTTCCTTGTATATGTCACAAAAACCATTCCAATTTCTCATAGGAGTCATCATAGTTAAGGTTAAACCCATTTTATATACGTAATTCGTCGAGATAACTGTAAATCATCATGTTTCGTGACTCGTTCACCACCCCGATCCTCTTTTTTGGATGACTCTAGAAACTTTTATTAGAATTCGGGTAGGTCCCATCGAAAGAACTGACGAAATCACCTGTGCTATTTACCACGCTATGAGTATAGAGCAGGAATGACAGTTTACCAAACGTTTTCTCCCTTCCAAAGAGCCTGTGGTATGGACAGTACTTAAATAATAGATTCAGGTGAAATTTGCCGGATAATTCGTGTACATAATTCCGTAGCATAATACGAACTCATGTGACTGGATGTTCAAGGTCACTAATCCGTTCAATAGGTAGATTAGATTTGAGCTGCTATAATTTAGGTGTGAAATGAGCGAAATACTGTAAGACATCTTGTCAGCCACGTTTCGTAAACCGTTAATGCCCAGCTCTTGCTACGCTCGGGCTCACGCTGTTCCTTGCAGTTTTTCAGAAACGCTTAGTAATAACGGACGCAAAAACCAAAACACCGATTGGCCACTCGAGAATTCTTTATTGTTACACCAACATATACAAATAATGTTTTACTAGGGTCTGTGAACAAATATTACAATAATAAATCACAATATTACTTCTGATGGTTGTCTCCTGACTTCTTTCTGAACAGCGACCGATGAGACGATGACTGTCGTATTGATGCCTCCGCGAAAATTGGGGAAGTTGGTTTTGAGCAAACAACCATGAATTGATCGTTCAATCTTCAACTACATTGACACTCCCCAGCAAAATTACGATCCAACCCTTTTATCCTTCACGACCAATGCACGTTGACTTGGATGCCATTGCGAGAACCTGGGGCACACGGACAGAGCTGAAATGGAAAACAAACAGAAAAGCCAACACACCACAAGCATACCCACAGCACAATCTCACACATCGCTGACGACCTGCGCCTCCAGATAGAGACCCCCTATTGACATCTTACAACACAATCGCC